AACGAATACCAACGATTGCAAACTGAATGTGGCAATGATTCCAGACAGACACAATAAGCTAAAATAACATTCAAAATCTTCCCACAATCTTTTAAAAATAATTCAAACTTTGTAACACTAAGTAAGAAAACATGAGACTGGAGATAAGTGCAAGTGCTACACAAGACCGAAACAGATGAACAAAACAGGACACGGGTGGCCTTGGCTGCTTCAGAGGCAGTCCGAGTATCAGCCAATAGAAACACAGGGAACATCAGAGCTGCAGACCCATGAGAATACGAGCACTAATCTCTCTCTCTAATGTGATTCTATTAAGAGAAATATTCTTATTCAGTCTTAAACAGCACTAAAGTGTGTGTCCATACTTTAGTGTTTGGGAAGGGGAGTCAAGAGTAGTCAAGGGTTAAAGGGTCAACTAGTAAAAGAGTCCAACTAGTAGGGGTATCCAAGTCTCACGATACGATATTGTCACGGTATGAACCTCAAGGTACGATATTTATTGCGATATCATGGGAAAACTCACGATATGGTGGGGAGGTTCACGATTAGGGATGTAACAATATCCAAATCTCTCGGTAAAATATTTTCACAATATACATCTTACGGCATGATATTTACTGCGATATTTTGTGGGGGCCAACAAAAACTGTGAATATGCTACTTTTCCCTCTTAAAATGCCTTGACAAGACTTAATCCAAAGAACTAAGACTTAAAAGTGCTTAGAACTGTTATTTCTTCTTGAAGTCTACACTAAAATGGAACAAAGGATCATGGTCTATGTAGTTCCCTCTTAATTTAAGCAAAGAGATTTGTAATTCAATATATTGTGATGGTCCACGATATTATTGTGAGAACTTTGACGATACGATGTCACGATATCTAATAGCCTTAAATTTGAACCTGTATCAAGCCTGAAGTTGCTGAAACAGAAACTTTACACAATGCAAAAATATCAAATACAATAACCATTTATTTCTTTGATTCTCAGAGAAGTACTAGTTAACAGCCTGATTCATCAGTCGGTTTCACTTCGTGGAAATCATCTGACCTCACAGCATTAGGATTCGTTGGCTCGACAATAGGTAGGTAATTTTATTTTATTTTTTTATCAATCGCTGCTATTTGGTCGTGACGTATGTAATGCGCCACTAACTTGGCTAAATGGTATATTACGCTTTTCCCAAATCCCATAAGAAGAAGGGCAATAACGTCTTTCCCCTTGTTAAAATTCACCAAACATTCTTTGTGTTCCAGCTTTAAATCCTCGATATCAGGAATCATTGCCAACACAGAATTTATGGCTCTTCGCTGATTGGCTGGTGCTCGAACTTGCACTTCCAGGGGTTTTTGCGAACCGTCGATTGTATTTTGATTCCTGACCTAGTCGCTGGAGAGAAATTAAATTGAGCGGAGGCAGTAGGTGGCGCTAGTCTGGCTAGTAAACAGCATCTTCCTAAGTGAAAAAGCAGAATAAACAGTCAAGTCACTCCAAAAACCAGCTCCTTGCTTTCTAATTTAATATAAATCCTTATAATCCCAATAGGATAATTACTGTATCAAGTTATAATTTAATACATCTTAGACTATTTATAGTGGGGACTTTTTCTTTGCACTAGTGTGGAACATCTTGTTATTTTTCTGTTCTACAATTAGAATTTGAGCTGTAGAGGGTTGAATAAATAATTTCTCATTCTACATGCAAAATAACTACTAAGTGTTTGAATCTGCAACTTATTTATTCTTGTTTGTGTTTTTTTTCTAAATCATACTTTACATTTAGAACAGTTTTTGGAGATGATTTTGCTTTAGGGTTATTGTATCTGTGGTATAAATTAGTTTCAATATTGTCATTTATCATCCTTGTTTCTTCAGCAATATATCACACTTCAAAATTTGTTATTCGTCACAGGGCTATAAATTTGGTAAACACAGACTCACCACCAAACGATTAGAGGAGTAAAGTTATACAACCCTCCAAGACACATTAATGGAAAATCCTTGACACATTTTCTAACCCATGCATGTAAACCTCCCAAATGTTTTGACTCCACCCTCATGGCATCTGTACAAACATCTACAAACTGTAAACTAGATTTGGAAATGGCACTTGACCCAGCAGGTCTGCTATCATTTTCCTTATCATGCTTTCCACACACTTGGCATGCGGGTCTTGGTATAATTTAAAACTCACAAACACGCCTTGACAGTTAAAAATGATCTCGGGCAAAGAAGGTGATAGGAGCTGATAACCTGCCAACCTAAAGGAGAGAGGGTCATAACTCCTAAACATAATTCATCAAAATAGTGTAATCCCATTTTAAATTCACTTAACTCAAATGGAATATCAATCTAAACACCGAACCAAGTTGGATATTCCACTTCTCCAATGTCTTTTGATTGATGAGAAAGAAGGAGCAGTAATAAACTATGTCAGTGCCGATGAAGTACACTGGCAGTGAACTTGAAAGTGAAATAAAACAAAATTAAATCAATACAGACTCAGTTTAAAGTTGGAAAATTTGACACTAAAGACTGAACCATGTATTTTTTTTCCATTACTAAAACTCAGATTTATATAAAGCATCAACAAGAACAGAATCTGGATTTTAAGTGCACCTTAAAGTGTTACTTCAGTAGCTTTTTTTGCTACTAAACTGTGTATATAGTGTTTTAAAAGACTTTTGTACCGTTTCTAGTCATTTTTGAAGCTTTCTGGTCAAAAACAGATCACAGTCAGGCGTTTCTGATAACAAACACCTGGCTGTAGAGGTGGAGTTTGAAGTGTTGGACCAATCACACCGCTCCTCATATGTCAAGACCCCACCTTCCTCCTCCTCTCATTTTTTTCTCTCATTCTCCAGGTAATGTTCAGTTTAGCAGCTCTGTTTGGAATGTGGTTGTGGGATGAGTTTGGGTGTTTAGTCCCATGACGTGTTCTCAAACCATATTGCATGCTAAAAACATACTCTTCATTCCCAAGTCTGCCATAAAACATAAAAAGAACGGGAGATTAAACGTCTGATTCATTTTGAAGATAATAAGTGACACATGCATTGCACATTTTTCATTTGGATACAACCTGAAAGTAATATTCTATCAATACTAAAAATAACTGCAAACAACTTTCATGTGGTGGCACTATGTATTGTATAAACTACTAAAAATCAATAAATATCTTAAAACAGCTTTCTTCTCTAGTATACTAAGCAGCTATAGTAAGTGCACTTGCTGATCTAGGAGTGTTAGGATCAGTCTCTTCTCTTAGTGAACAGCAGAAGGCTAAATATGGAGGGAGCATCATTCACAGACTAAAACTGGCTCAGTGGTGTAACAACAGTACCTCCTTGTGGTACCTGGTCTCATAAAACACTGCATATGAGTGTTTGCTTTAAGTTGGTGATGACATCTATCTATTTATCTATCTATCTATAAAAACATAATAGAGTTTAATGAGGTTTCTTCATTTAAAGGTGCAATATGTCAACTAGTCAAGTTTTTGTCACTAGTTTGTCTCCAGTTTGTCTCTTTGCAATGTCTATAATGTTCAACAGTATGGAAATTGATTGTCTATAACTAAATACTATATAGCTAAAATAACTAACCCCCAAGGCTTTTAACACTGTGGTGATGGTGGTGCCACTTCATCTACAAGCCATTTTTTTATTGTCTGTAATCTTTTATTATTAAGAATATGGATTTTATATTGTGCTTACTAGAAAACACTTTGGTTATTTTCAGTTTTCTTTAGGGATTGGTTCCACTTTATAGTAACTATACTCTAAATAGCCTTAATAAAGCATGAACACAAAACTACCTATATAAAAAGAACAATAAAGCATGAATAAGCACTAAATAAAGGTGGACATCGAAAAAAATTGCTAAATGTTTAATAATGGAAGTGTAAAGGTTAATGGTCGGAGGTGCTGTTGACGCCTGGGCCGCTTCTTTTGGGGGGTGGATCGCTTCAGAAGACACAGCTCCTCTTGTGCTGAGAAGAGTTTAGAGGAGCTCCTGCACCTGAACAGTTTCTCATTGTCTTTGTTGGTTAGATCATCACCAACATCAATATAAGTGGTCTCAGGTTGTCCATTATAGGGGCTTCAAATTTTTCTTTCATCTTCTCATGGGCCTTACTGGTGTTGGCGAGCTCTTGTTTGAGCTGGAGACTGTCTCTCACTGTATTGTTATAGAGATATCTTATCTTCTTGTATGCACTAACTTGGTTTTCCGTCCCTTGACCTTTCCTCTGGAGAGTAGCTTTAAGCTCTTTCAACTCCAAGTCTTTTACATTTATCTTTTCCCTGACTTTTTGGAGTTAGCAGCTCTTGTTTTAGTTGCGCATTTTCCTGTACTGTAGAATTATACAGATACCAGATCAACTTATGTGCGTTAACTTGGTCTTTTAGTTGCTTGTCCTTCTACTGAAGAGTATCAGTGAGTTTTCCCAACTCGAAGTCCTTTTCTTTGCCAGTCCTCTACTGAGTCTTAAGCTTTCAGTCCAAAAAACTGCTTTTTTGGACCTGATCTGCAAACTTGGCCCTTGTCCGCTCCAACTCTTCGCGCAGTGCCGTAACCAGAGTGCTGTCCTCCAGGGGTGGAAGTGTCTGGACCAGACTTCTTTCCTCAGGGTTTGAAGAGTCCTGGATGTTGGGAGACACCAGTTGGGTCTCCTCTGACTCCTGAACGCCCCCTGTTGGTGTGGAGCAGAGCAGAGCCTCCAGGTCGAAGTCCTCATCATTAGACTTCATGCTTCATTTGCTGATGTAAAGAGGTACCAGGGCTTTGTTGGGAAAGTAGTTGAGCTCTCCATGTTTGTGTGCGCATTCACCAGTGTCCTGAGATTTTATGATCCAAAACTTGTCTCTTGAGAACAGAGTATTTTGTGTAGAATGTTTTGTTTGATTTATTGTACCGTTGTGAAATTAAATATGCTTTTCAGTAATTAATTGTTAATTATTGTCCAATCCTAAAACATGTCTTTTACTAGTAGGACACCCACCTATTCTTCTTGGAGTGCTCATCTTTGCCTTTCTTGACTCCAAATATCCGTGTGATCAAAGTACTGAAGAGCAGAGTGGACGAGTTCCTCACCTGGAATAAAAAGCGGTATTATAAAAATCTGGCAAAGCGGTCAGAAACAGTGACCCAGCAGTTTGAGAAAGCCTTGGAGACAGTGTGTCGTGTATATACTTGAGTTCACAGTGTTTCTTTGCTAAATGTAGCTAAACCTAGAGTGGAAAGGAACATTTTAAGTCTAGTGTGAAACCAGTGGAGTGAATGACGAGTTCTGAAGATCCGCTGGTTCAGTTCAAGGGTAAAAGATCAAACCGATGAGCCACAAAACCACACAAGAATAAATCTATGAATGAAGTAATTATTCGCTCTATTGGTGAGTGAAGAGAGGATCTTTGGTCTGTATCTCACTATGATATAGTATGACATGTGTCTGGATAACAAAAAGCTGCTTTCAAATAAACCTGAATGACGCTCTTTGAAGTATTACACCGATAGTGAAAAATTGGATTGTGTTCGGTTCAATATCGGTTAAGTCGATATCATGGTTAGACCTTTAACTGGATGTAATAAGTCTATTTACAGGCTGATTTTGGCCTGCATCATGTTATAATTTTTGAACTTTTATCCTTACAAAGCTGTTCAATAGTTATTTGAAAGATAAATAACTGCTGCATAACACAGCTGGATCTCTTGTGTAATAAGTAAACGGTGTTCTAAGAAAATAAGTAATAATTTTCCCACATTGTTATCAGTTAATATCAGCAGATACTTAAAGACAAAATCAGTACTGGAAATGAAAAAGCTGGATTGGGTTATCTCTATTTTTTAATATTTAACTGAGGCTGTATTAGATTTATTTATTATATTATAATTAAATAAGCATGGCAAGTTTTTGGAAAATTTAGTAGCTTCTATTAATTCTATTTGCAAATTTAATATATGAAATTCACTTTTACTAATTACCAATAATACATTAAAAATATAAATGTTCCAAATAAAATAAAAATCATATCCATTAAACGTGTGCTGATTCATAAGACAATAATTACAGAATTACAGGATTAATATAATACTATAGGAAATATTATAATATATACAGGATAATATATTACAGGATAATACCTTGGAGTTTTTTATTTTTGTATATTCAGTCTCCCTTCACGGAAGAGCTGCTAGTTTTCACCAATTTTACACTGGAAGTCCATGAACTGTTCCTCTTTACATTTTTTTTTTCCATCTGTATGTGTGTGTTGCCTTTATAACCTCTCTACATGTAGCTGAACCTGAAGTGGAAAGTAACATTGTAGGTCTTGTGTGATCTGCTGCAGTGATACATTATACGAGATATGAGTGGTGTATGTTTTAAACTCACAGCCCAAACCGCAGAGGTGAAGCCGAGTACCGCGGCCTGCATCCCCTCAGACACAAACGGGATGATGTTTTCCCCCAGACGAGTGTCTCTGTACAGCGCACGAAGGATGTTCAGAGCATGCACCTGAGGAACACACAAATACATAGATAAGACTAAATTATTTTGTGTAAATATGGCAAAATATATTCCTTCTTCCATACTCCATTCCATACTTCTTCCTGTTCCTTTTGTTCATGCAGCAAAGACAAGGCAAATCATGATAGAATTATGTTTTATGTATTTATGTTAATTGTCAGATTTTGTCGTTGTTGTTATTGCTGTTCTCTTTAAACTGATGCCAACAAAATAATATCATGAGCAATGCATGAATAAATAACTATATGACATGATATATGGCAAAAAATAATAGCACTATTTTCTTGGAGCCAAATCACGATTTATGTAAATTTGGCATCTGTATATAGCCTTGAAGAGGGAGCTACAGCCATCTGTTTCTTCTGGAAATTTACAGAATTCGGTTAAATCCATGTGTTACTCACTCAGGGCATTGCTGAGGTTGACCAATAGGAGGTTTGAGAGGGAAAAATCTTTTCGCTTGAGCATAGAGCTGTATTCAAGAGAAAATTTAGTGAATCACAATATGAAGATTAAACCAAAATAGCATATCGTCAAAGAAATGAGATCACAGTTCACTTTCTATAGCCATAATACCCAACCCTAGTCAATAGCCCTGTCCATAACGTTGAACAAGGAGTGAAGAACATGTTTTAGATTGAACTGACTCTTGCACAGTTATTTCCTTCTCCCTTTAACCATGACAGACAAACATCTGACTGGGATAGTCACAGAAACATCCAAAACATGGTTGATTTGACAAAAATAGTGCCCCTGACATTTACTTCTACATGATCCTCACATATAGATTACAAAAGACATATATGCTTCCTACAATGTGTTAGAATTGTATTATTTCCATCCTCTGGCCACAGTAGTGTTGGTTTCCATTCCAAATTAAGCCTTGATTTGCTCATTAAAGGACCCATATTACAGTATTTTCTGATGTTTGTTATACTGGTAATTGTGTTTCCTCATCAGAAACATACCTGGAGTTGTGTTTTGTTTCATTCACACATGTTTAATACACAAACCCTGCATATTTCTTATTTCTCAAACAGAAAACTAAACTCACAAAAGTAAATTTTGTGTAATATAGGACCTTTAAAAATGATACATAAAGGTGGACTTTCAGTTGAAGTATTGCTTACAGTTGGCAAGTAAGACAGGTGATATGTTTGTTGAATTTCTTCTTGGGCAATACTGTAATTTATCAAGCTGAAAAAGAAAAGTATTAGTAAGCAAAGAATTCCCATTTCCATAACTATTCCTAGCCTCACCAATTTTCCCACCATTATAAAACCATCTGCATTGGAAAATAAACTGCAGAAAGTAGTTTGTTCCACCTTTTGTGCATCTCTGTACAAATCACCAAATGTGGAAACCGCTTGGCCTAGTTCTATGCTTTCCTTATCGTGGTTTCTAACGGATTTTCCAAACCTCAAAAACACTCGTCATAAACATCACGTCGTACAGATGGTAAGTTAGTAGTAGTTGTGTTGTGTGTCACTGGGTGATCACCTGAGGGACAGTGGAGCGCTCTGTGTCTTGGTCAGAAGAGGGCGTGGCTAATGCGATCAGTTCTCTCATGGTCATCTTCAACAGGCTGCAGGATGACGATTTGGGCTCAGAGGAGAGAAGAGCCTATAAAGAACAGTTTACATATTGAGATTGTTCAGAAAAAAAAATACAAAGCTAAGTAAATATTAGATATGTTTTCAGCAGAATGTTAGAATGTTGTTACCTTCCCAAAAACATATCTTGAGTTGTGTTTTGTTCACCCAACTATCTGAATTTCTAAAGCTCAAAATGCTCTGTTCCACATAATGATGTCATGATGTGGTAGCTTTCAAGTTAAATTTAACTTAGGGCAGTAGAAACTGGAAATTTCTAGGCTGAAATGATCATAGAGAAAAATCCCGCATGCCGTCTTACTTGCAAAATGTGAGATTTAGTAGGACAAACCATGCAAAGTTTCGGCACTTCATCATCTAGTGTGCAGGATTTTTCTCTATGTTCTTGGGCTGCTCCCTCTCCTCCCACGCACCCATCTCAAGTAATTGATGTGTGAAGTTCTCATTCTTTTATAGGCTAAAATTATCCAGATGATTCTAGTGAACATGCATGGAGTATAAAAACACATCGGAGCACTTCCCTATTACTGTACGACATCACAAGGTGAAACAGAGTATGCTCTGTTTGAGAGAAGAACTCAGTCTAAATATGCAGGGTTTGTGTGTTAAACATGTCTGAATGAAACAAAACAAAACACAACTCCAGGTATGTTTTTGGGCAGAAAGAAATAATATAATAAAGATCAGAAAATAGCTTAGTATAGGCTCCTTAAAGTAACATTGCATAACTTTCTGGAGGTCTAATTTTATGGAAACAGAAAGATAAAACCATTTTCCAAGGAGAATACTAGATATGTTTTATGATATTCAGTGAAATATTAAAGCCGAAGGAAAAACATCATCTTGGAGACAAGCAGGTGGACAAGCAGTGCAATAAGTAATGCCAAAAACATGCTTTTATTTTAATCTATTCAATCTATTTGTTGGATTGAAAGTTACACTGTGGGACTATAAGGATGGAAAACATTTATTCATAAATTTGAAGTTACATTAAACAGGCAACTTGACTCTGTCAGAAAATATCCATGTTCTTTTAGCCTCTTTGAAACTGAGTGACAGATTGTGAAAGCGGCGTGTTTGTGAGTGGGACACAGGAGCAGAGGTGACAGAGCGGAGCCACTGTATTCAACAGAGAGGAGTTTAATGTGGAGCTGATGGGAGCCAGCTGTGTCTGTAATGGGCCTGGAAAAGAGGCAGGTCAGTGGGAGAGGTACAGTCTGAGTCCTGTGAAGAGTCTGGGGGTATTTGGGCAGAAAGAGGGGCGGGTGCAGCGGTGAGAGAGCGAGAGAGGAGAACTAGAGGAAAAAAGAAGAGAAAGAGAGAGAAGGAGAGGGAGAGGAGTTGGGTATGTGGTGGAAAAAATGCTGCCAATGTGTTCCCTTATTCCCTGCAAAGATTTATAATTTCCTCTTTTATATTATGTAAAATCAGATCCTATTTTTAGAACTGGATGACTCCACATAAGCATCTAGGGATATGTTTTGAATGAGAAGTTGAATTGTTTTCTGTTCTTGCAACTTGGAGTGTGCAAAAATATCAAAATATCAATATATCGTATTGTTTGTGATGATACAGTGTCAATATCGCGGACTGCTGTATCAATATATCGCCAAGAGTATTTTTTGGTATATTTTACTAAAGTATTTTGTTACAGCTACAGTTTTGTTGCTTGTTCAGAGGAAGGGAACTCGTTTATGCGACACATTTGACATTTTTATTGTTTTGAGGGTTAAAATGGGCTTTTTTCATATTAACTTTGCACAAGAAGTGGTTTAACAAAGACCTTTATTATCACAGCCATGATTTTTTTATTGAACCATATCGAATCTATTTGAAATATATCGTATTGAATCGAAAGTGCACTGTATCGAGGTATGTATCGTATCGGCAACTAGGGGTGTGCAAAAGTATCGGAATATCGATATATCTTATCGTTTAATGTGATGATACAGTATCGATATCGTGGGCTACTGTATCGATATTTCACCAAGAGTATTTTTAGGTGTGTTTTACTAAATTATTTTGTTACAGTGCTACAGTTCTGTTGCTTGTGGAGTGAAAGGAAGCTCATTTATGCGACACATTTGACATTTTTACTGTTTTGAGGATTAAAATGTTTGTGTTTCATATGAACTTTGCACAAGAAGTGATTTAACAAAGACTTTTAGTATCACAGCCACGATTTAGCCTTTATGTTTTACTGAACCGTATCGAATCGATTTGAAATATATCATATCGAATCGAAAGTGCACTGTATCGAGATATGTATCGTATCGTGGCCTGTGTATCGAGGTATGTATCGTATCGGCAACTCCTTAATGATACCCAGCCTTACTTGCAACATTCGTGAGAAGCTACCTAACAAAAAACAAAAGGTGGGAAGCAAACCTTTTGTATTCAACCATTATGTTATGGTGCCAAAAAACACGTAACCAAAATATTTTTCCCGTTTCATCTTATGAGTAATTTATAGGTTATACAACGCATTATACTGTAATAATGTAATTTTGAGTGCTCAGATCTGGGGAGACATAGATATGCTCAAATTAAGAATGCGTCTTTTTTTTTACAAGTAATTTTGAGAAACACCTGTAGCTGAATACATTCACGATAGATAAGATAATGCTTCACAGTGGAATATTCTGGGCAAAGCAAAAGCATTTCCTTGGAGAATAGCAGGTGAAGGACCCCAAAACTGAAAATTTCTAAAGTCTTAAGTCATGTGCTATATATAGATCTCATAGCCCCCACAGTGATGCTACAATGAATGTGAAAATGTTTTACAAGAGTTTTTTTTTTTTTTCTCTCCCCAGAGTCAGACACAAAACTGAATGAATGCCTTCTGCTCATTCAAGTATTTTGGATTATACAACCCCAACATTCCTCGGTCAGACCAGAAAAGACCAAATGAGCGAATAAAAACTGTAGAGGGGCAGTGATGTCAGCGGAGACAGGCTTTAACCACAAGTAACCAGTGTCTCTTTAAACTGTCGGATGATACAACAAGTGAGAAGTGTCTTTGTTAAATGTGGTGCTGGGCTGTAATCAGGGGAAGTGGCTGGTTCACAGAGTCATGAGTCAGTGGAGTGAGAGGTGAGTGGGAAACATGACTAATGAGAGGGTCAGCCAGAGGACAGATAGGACACACTGTGGTCATTACGGCATTGTGGTACAGGTGTGTGTCTAAGAATAGGACAGTGGGTTAGAAGTTGGGCTCTCAAATCACAGTATTTTGGACATCTGCAACCGTAAACAGTTTTAGGTTAGGGGACACTTTTGTAGCGAAAATTGTCCCCACTTAACCTATCCTTCAACGCAATCTATCAGGAGCAATGGACCCATCTCCAAATCTTGAGCTAGACTTTGTCAAGACAACTTCAGCTAGAGGATTTTACCTTTTGTGCATGTTTTGGGTAAAGGCGCACTAACGTTTTCTGATGGCGGGCACAGAAATAACATTCTTGTCTCTGTGATGTCTGGCTTGTCTTTCCACAGATTTGGCCTGGTGGCACTGCTTGCTTATTTCCATGGAGATAGAAAAGTCTAAAGCCATACTGTGAAGCATTCTAGAGAAAGTAATTAGCCCTTGTCTTCTTTCCAAACAAACGAAAGACAACTGTGTAGTCACATTTTGTATACAGCCCTCTTCTACGGCATCACTTCCCAAGGACTGGGACGCGATCCTCAGGTGGGTCCAAGAGTTTTTTGGGGGTTTTTTGGGTCGCCTTATCACGATCTTCATGTAGTTCTGCAATATACAGTTCTGACACATGAGAGAGCTACTGAATATCCTGTCCTCAGTAAGGTCAGTATGTCTATGCTTATTCCTTTCACTACTACATTTATGTGTGAATTAGGATTTTCTGAGCTCACGAAAATGAAGACAAAGAACAGAAAGAGACTGAACGATGCGCCTGATCTGCTGCTGTGTTCTCCTCCTGCACCCCAGACTGAAATGAGCTACAAAAATGCAGATGGGCCCGCCTATCTCATTAGAAATGTTGAAATGTTAAGAATGTTTTGTGTAATTTATAGTCTTTTTAAAATTATTTTATTGACTATTTTGTTCCAGTATTGCTGGTTAAATTGAATGTTGAAGAGAAAAAGAAATGGGCAACATTTAATATCCAAATAGGCAACTTATGGATCCTTTTATTGCTGGTTCAATGACTTGAGCAAACTTGAGCAATACTAAGAGACAAGATCACTTAACAATAAAACAATAAAATATCCTCATTAATGTTCAATAACGGTCAAATACACCTTTATTTTTGTGATTTACAAATAATGTCTATTGACTTGGGTCGCAAAGGTTTTTAACTTTTAAAATATGAGTCCCGAGAAAAAAAAGTTTGGGAAACACTGTTCTACAGGATTAAGCTGATGCAGAACCTCATTTTTAGGAGGCTTCAAGTTTGACATTAAATCAGGTGGTCAGCTCAAACAAAACGTTGGCCTATGGTGGTTATGTTAAGGACAACAGCCAATAAGCTAGAAAAAACAAATATCAGACCAAAATAATTATCCATTTCTAAAGAGTTTTATAGATTATTTAGATCCATCCTAATGCACACACCTGAATGTAGAAGGGGATGCCAGCGCTGCGTCGAGTGGCACACAGTTTGGACGAAGGATCACTGGATTTGACCTCCTCTAGAACCTCAGAGAGCCAGCGGGACGGCAGCCTCTGCAGGGCCTGACTGCCACTTCTGAAAAGATTCAAAAGATATATGTTAGGCATTTTCTGGATATGTCTTCTTGGTAAAACTTTAGATTAGGGACCATATATTAATAGCTAGTTAGTAGTAAAATGCATAATAAGTGCTTAATTACATCTTTGTTAGTATTTATGAAGTACTTTCGATGCATTTTGTATAATAAGTGTCTGACTAATACCAACTAATAACTAAGTAACAGCTAATTATCAATCCAATTACCATTTAGTTTGCTATTAATATGTGGTCCCTAAATTAAAGTGTTACCGTCTTCTTCAGTCTGATTATATGATAATTTGTTTTACATGTACTTAGCCAGGTTAAAAACTTAAAAACTGAAATGAACACTTACAAATATAAACTACATTTCAATATACTAGTAATAGTCTGAGCAGATTTTGCATATGTCCAGTGTCAAGGAATGTTTAGAGCCAAATTTCACTATTTTGTGATTTATGTTATAATGTTGTTTCCTCATCAAAAATATACCTGGAGTTGTGTTTTGTTTCATTGTTTCCTTCATGTTTAACACAATTAGAGTTCTTCTCTCCAACAGAAAACACTCAATCTTGTTCACTGTTCAACCTTGTGACACAGGAAGAGCTCCACTATGTCTTTAAACTCCACACACCTTCACTATAATCATTCGGATCATTTCAGCTCTGGAATTGACAATTTCTACTGAATTAAAGGTAAAAGGTAGTTGTTAACTTGAAAACTACCACTTCTTGATATCATACAGTGGAAAAAAGCATTTCCAAAGCTCAAAGCATTGGAGATGCAGACAGACTAATAATAAAGGGTTTACTCAAACATGTGTGAATGAAAGAAAATAACTCCATGTACGAGGAGGTAACAGCATTATAACATGAATTAACACTCACAAGAGTCAACTGTGTGTAACATAGGACATTTAAATGACATATGCCTTGCACAGAGGGAGGTTTGTACTAAAGATATAATGACTTAAAGCTAGGGATGTACTAAAAAAAATTAAATACTGTGATATCGTATAGTCAATGTTCTCACAATATCGTGGATCATCATAATATATCAAATTACAAGTCTCTATCCTTAAATTAAGAGTTATGGTGCAGCAATAGCTAAAAAAAGACAGGGGGAACTACATAGACCAGACATGTCAAACTCATAATTATATCTGGCTCGCGAGATCATATTTTATTTTAAATTTTTTATTATTTTGTATTATACTTCTTCTGGATTCAATGTTTAAGCAAAAATATTATTAAACATTTATTTTAATAAGAAAAGGTTTAACATTACATAGCTCGAAAGAAGAGAAAAAATGAAGATGTTTTTGAAATTTTTCAATAAATATTTAGTTTGGCCCACGACTTGTTTGGCCCAGTTTTTAATTTTGGCCCTCTTTGAATCTGAGTTTTACACCCCTGACATAGACCATGATCCTTTGCTCCATTTCAGTGCAGACTAAAAGAAGTAATAACAGTTCTAAGCACTTTTAAGTCTTAGTTATTTGGATTAAGTCTTGTCAAGGCATTTTAAGAGGAAAAAGTAGCATATTAACAGTTTAGTTTAGCCTCCACAAAATATCGCAATAAATATCACACCGAGAGATTTGGATATTGTTACTTCCCTAATCGTGAGCCTTCCCATGATATCGCAATAAATATCGTACCGTCAGCTTCATACCGTGACAATATTGTATCGTGAGATTTGGATATAGTTACACCCCTACTTAAAGCGATTGACTCTCATTGACTATCGATCATTGAACTAATTATTTTCCGTTCCTCTCAACACAATACAGAGTCACACCAAATGTACAAAAAAAACCTCCTCAAGGAACAATGTAAAGTACATACTTATCATAAACACACTAGACATGCCTTAAGGAGTGGCTTTTATTCTATTTCTATTATTAAGTGTCTGACAGAACACAAAGGAAATTCCTGGTCTAAACTTACTCACACATTTACACTGTTCCCTGTGGCATCTGCATCCTCAAACAAAAGCTAAGAATACGATACGGAGGAGGCCTGAGGAACACACACCCAAAGAAACCACTGGAGCTGCAGCTGTTTAACGACTCGCACTGAAGCAAAGAGGTTTCAAACTATCCAACATGGAGGGCAGAGACACTGGTATAACGCCTGAGCGCACTCACACACTTAACAATGTAGGGGGAATAAAAGGAATGTGGCAAGAAATGAGGCGTTAAAACGTGTCATGAACAAGGAGAAAGGAAACTGATTTTTAAAATGCAATTATGGCTAGTGCTAGACTTAGACGAACTTCATTGATCCACAAAGGAACTTATTTAGACACAGTAGCTCACACATCATGATAGAATAAAATAACAACGAGAAAAATATAAATGGTAATAATAAATTCTAAAAAAGTACCACAAAATAGTAAGAGAATGGGATCAAATAAGGCATAATTATATAAATGTATATATACAGCTAAAAATAGAATAAAATAGAAATAAGTAATAAAAATATCTCAGTTTTTATTACAAGAAGCTGCAAGAAAAACAGTGTAAAGATGATATGATGATTGACAGGACACAGAGTTATCTTTTACATAATGGTGAGTTGTTGTACAGTTGTATGGAGTATGGCATAAATCTAGTCCTGTTTTCTATTCTCTTTTTCTATTTCTCTACATGAAACATATTGCACAATGCCAGTATATTGTCATAGGTATTTAAATTCTACCTTTAAAATCTAGATCAAAAAGTTCATATATTGATCTAGGTTTTGTGTTTGCATTTCTCAAGCCCAGACTGACACTTAAGAAACTAAAGCCTCAAATCTTGCCCCAGTACAGAGATTGTAAAGTCTTTTATTGGCCGATAATCAGGAAGTGCGTGTTAACATGTTATTTGCTGTTAGCTTTACTGTGACAGTAAACTCCACTGTTGCTTCGTGAAAAGCACTTATGAGTCCATCACAGTGAATAATTAGGATGCACGAAATGCAATAACTTTGGACTGTTTAAAAATGAACTAGTTCTGTTTTTCATGTGTTAAAGACAATGAAAATCAGGTACAGCGCCTTAAAATTTACAGCTCACTGATGTTTTTTTTGTTTTTTTTATTCATTGATACTGTATACTGGGTTCCCACTTTTTTCACTGACAAAATTTCAAAACTTTTCCATGACTTTTTCATGTCCTAAAGTGAATTTTCCATGACTTTACCGCACCTGCATATGTAGAATTGATCAGACCTTTAGGGCTAAATATGAAATGTTAACCCTTTCCACTCACCCTATGGTTTGGTATTATAGTTTTTTAACATTCAAAATACTGTGAGTGCATTTATTGGCGTCTCTTTTAAACAAAAGGCACAAATGTTTAGAAATAATCATAATAGTCTAATGACTTAACAGAACTCTGTAGTTGCGAGAAAGAGATACGGAAATTCCATGACTCTTCCAAAACTTTCATTTAATTTACACAGTTCCATGACTTTTCTAGGCCTGGAAAATGACATTTTCAATTTCCATGACTTTTCCAGGATCTCCTTGACCATGGGAACTCTGAATATAGAACTTAAAACTATTAATTTTGAATGAGATGTTTTATAAATAATTGGTTACATAAAATTATCCATTATTATTAGAGGTATGCAAAAATATTGAAATATCGATATATCGCATCATTGAATGTGATGATACAGTATCGATATCACAATCTGCTGTATCGATATATCGCCAGGAGTATTTTTTGGTGTATTTTACTCAATTATTTTGTTACAGCACTACAGTTTTGTTGCTTTTTTAGAGGAAGGAAACTTGTTTATGCGACACATTTTCACTGTTTTGATGATTAAAATGTTTGTGTTTCATATGAACTTTGCACAAGTGGTTTATCCAAGACTTTTAGTATCACAGCGTATATCGTATCGAATCAAAAATGTATTATATCGAGACATGTATCGATCGAGGTATGTATGGTGTCGGCAACTTCTGAATGATACCCAGCCCTATTTATTTTGTCAATCAATACATGCTGAGTCTTGGAAACTTCCGCCTCAGAAAATCCCCTAAGCTGACACCCCTGGATATAGTCCATGTTGTGTGTGGATATCAAAGTGTTCTTTAATAAAAACACAGCATTTTTTTGAAACCACAGAAATCCTAAATGACAGATAGCGAAAGAGTTCATTTGGTAGATTATATAGAAACATATATACGGACATACAAAGGCATATCCGGAGTGGATCAAACGCCTGTGGTTAAGCACCCAACAATCAACACCCCATAACTGAGAAAACTGCCGCATACCATCCACAGCCCTATTCACACATCTCTGCTCTCAGCCACCAAATAATATCCCCGTTAACTAAAAACAAAACAGGACATTTTGTTTTTGCGCCGTTCTATTCAAAAGGAGGTTCAGACAAAGCGTACAGCAGCGCTAGTGCAGCCGGTCACCTGCTCAGACTAAAGATGGCTCCCACAAACCAGCACCGAGCAAAACAGGAGACCGCAAAGAGTTTAAAACTGTCAGCAAAAGTCCCATGGGTTTAATCCAGTCTGTAATGTGCAGCTTTTGAAGTCCAAGGATGGTGATTGGTAAAATATGGATTCAACTGTGCAATAATTATTTTTTTAAGAAATTTAAATGGTAATTAAAAAGCAAAATTGTTGTTGATCCAGTATATTTTATAAGCTTGAACTGTGGTCAGAGTAAAAATAGTGTACAAACTTGTTGGTATACAATCTACATAAAGAAATTTGCAATATATTGGCAAGATTATTGGTAATTCTAGAATAACTTGTCAATATTTTGTCAATTTAATGTGCTTTACTTAATTTTTACAACAACATGACCACAACGACTAGCATGCATACACCACAGCCGACTTACTTTCTAGTTCCACACAATAAAAACTGTTTACAATTTAATGCAAACAGCATACAGTGGTCTTATTTTGGCCCAAATTTTACTTAATTACATGAAATTATTGGGTACAGCTTCTGCCTGTTTCCTAACAAACTTCATAATACAAAAAAAATCTGATATAAATGGCAACTACATGGACCTCCACATTTTTTAATCAGACAATACTGTTCAAAATATAGTGATTTATTTCTTTAGAAAAAGTATGATCTTTTTATGCTTCAAAAGTACCGTATTTTTCGGACTATAAGTCTGACTTTTTTCATGGTTTGGGTAGTTCTGCGATTTATACTCTGGTGAGACTTATATATTAAAATTTTCAGACTGACAGGCCTGAGAGGCTGCGCATATCTCCTGCAGAAAAAGCCACTGTCCTGCTGCAAGTAGTGAAATATGCAGCAGAAAACGGTAATCGAGCAGCAGAAAGAAAGTTTGGAGTGAGCGAGAAACTTGTGAGGGACTGGTAGAAAGCGGGAATGAAGAACACAGCTTCACGGCAACCTGGAGGGTGCGCCATGCAACTTCACCTGGAAGTCACTGGATGACAAAGCATGGACTTCAGTGACAATCGAAGTTGCGCGGAGTTACTCAGAATTGACACCGAGGATAAAGAATTCAATAGATTCAGTGGATTTAGTGATTTGGAGTGAGATCGACAGTTTGTTAAACTTATGTTCTGTTGTTTATGTTCTTTTAATGTAACATATTAGCAATTATTCAGATAACATATTAACGCCTATTCAGCCTATTGTTCTCTGTCCTACTGTTATTACTAGAACTTGCCTTTCAAGATGAAATGTCGGTTCCTGGTCCCTAATTTTATAAAATAAATTTCCCCCAAAAAGTGCGATTTATAGTCCGGTGCGACTTATATATGTTTTTTTCTTCTTCATTACACATTCTTTGGCTGGTGCGACTTATACTCCGGTGAGACTTATAGTTGGGAAAATACAGTAATTACTTTGGGTGAGGGTTACATGCCAAGTTAGTGGGACGGACTTTCTAAAACGTATAGTCAACCTCCTAATCCCAGATCAACAGGGATATACATTCACAAATTTGTCAAAACTGGGGGGCTATTATTTGTTTTAATACTTTTTTCTTAGCGGGAATCCCTTCATAGAGCGCCACAACATTCAGAAACAAACAGACAAAAGGTCATGATGAAGTAACTGCAAACTCCAAACTGTATTTTACCTATTATTGTGTGCTGGTATGCTGTAATTTCACTTCCATTTGAAATAATGATCCCGGCTTGTAATCATAGCCTATTATACGTGAACACTGATACTAAGGGAACCTACTCCTGGGTAATTACAAGGCACTGGTCCCACACTGGTTATAAAGCGCAGTCATTGGGATGGATATTACCTTTCAGGGATAAATGTGACCACAGCTACACACCTGCACAGCATGTCGGTGAGGCGCACGAAACCCACATACGCCAGTTCAAAGGCGCCACGGTGACGGGACTGGAGGAGCTGCTGACGGAAGTACAGGCCCACCCCCTCCACCTGTGACAGAGAGAGGGAGAGAAGAGAGAAACAGGGAGGGAGGAAGAGAGAGAGGGGGGTGAGGGTGGAAAAAAGGAGGGAGAACAAGATCAGAACTGGAGGTTTAACAAGTGAGAATACATTTACAGATTTACACCACATCAAAACTCAGACTGAACCTAAAAGTAAACCTGGAATAGACCGGGACTCTAACCAAACCAAATATGCAACAGGACTAAACTGGGATCGTGGCAAACCCAGCGTGGATGAAGCATTGGAAATCAAGTAACAAAACTGGAAATGTACATTATGAATAATTTTAGTTTTCAAATGTCATACTAAATGCTACCAATTGATTGCACCACTTTGGTTTTGTGGTTTGTAGTTTATAAACTCAAACCAATCAAGTAATTTCAGAACAGTAAGTAAGTAAGTAAAAGTAAGTAAGTAAAAGTAAGTAAGTAAAAGTAAGTAAGTAAAAGTAAGTAAATAAAAGTAAGTAAAAGTAAGTAAAAAAAGTAAGTAAAAGTAAGTAAGTAAAAGTAAGTAAATAAAAGTAAGTAAAAGTAAGTAAGTAAGTAAAAGTAAGCAAAAGTAAGTAAGTAAAAGTAAGTAAGTAAGTAAAAGTAAGTAATAAGTAAGTAAGAAGTAAGTAAGTAAATAAATGTAAGTAAGTAAAAGTAAGTAAGTAAAGTAAGTAAAAGTAAAAAGTAAGTAAAAAGTAAGTAAAGTAAAAGTAAGTAAAGTAAGTAAAAGTAAGTAAAAGTAAGTAAGTAAAAGTAAGTACGTACGTAAATGTTTTATTTATATAGCACTTTTCACAGACATTTGTCACAAACGCTTTACAGATCATTATTTATTCACTTCAGACCCGGTGGTGTGGTAAGATGCTAATGTAACCACAGTTGCCCTGGGGCAGACTGACTGAAGGGCATTGGTCCCTCTGACCACCACCATCACTCACGCCCACAACACTTTCATACTAGGGAATGTGGGTGAAGTGAAGCTTGCCTAAGGACACAGCAACAGTTTCTGTGACTGGCGCCCCACTCTAGCACCTGATTTTCCCAGCGATCTCCCTCCAAGTACCAACCAGGCCCGGCCTTGCTGAGCTTCTGAGATCTGACGTGATCAGCCTTTGACAAGTGTAGTATGGCCACACTTAACTCAAAAACTTAGGCAAAAGATCGTGATTGATTTAATACATTTTAACTCACATAATACATTATAAGCATCTCAAACAATCGAGTCTTTATACTTCAAAGGTGTATTAATTTAAACACATTTACTGTAATGCGGTTACTTGTACTCATCCCATTTGACATCTCTTAACTCAGTTTGTATAAAAGTTTGTATAAAAATGCTTCATTTACTTAAACTCATTTAAAATGGTTAATTGGTTGCATTTCATTAGTGTCATAAGTACTTCAATTGGTTTCACTTTGACAACCCCAGTGAATTAAGGAAACTAATTTCACTGACTAAACACACAGACATACTTTTTACACATACACAATTACTGAAACAAATATGATTTTAAGGCAGAAATACATTTTTAGGGTAGTAAGTTGCTCCACATCACTTAACAACCTGCCATTTTTCTTTCTCTTTCTTTTTTAAATAATAAATCCTCAAACCTTTAAAATCATATTTGGTTTGGTTAAAGTGCAAAGTCAAACAGAAACTTTTAAATAGCTACCTGCTCCTTCACCTGAAACAACCCCTGAATGCAGAGGACATAATGAACAAAAGGAGCAGCCACTGACCATATGGACAGGACATAAGATTTATATAATTCAGCACTGGGCTTTATTTGGCTGCTTTAGTGGTCTGGAAGGTCAATTACTTTAAACAAATGTTAAATTAAGGTAAATGCAGCGCCTATAAAATTAGCTTTCTGACCAACTCCACTCAGAAGCGACTCCACCTGCGGCCACTGAAACTAGCCTTTTATATAAACTACAGTATATGGAGTTTTTGTGGGACTGTCATTGTATGTGATTCAGATAAACATTAAGTTAGTTACAAACTGCACATTACAAAAATACCAACATTTTAGCTATAGATAGTTTACAGTTTATTACTCTAGATTAGTTTGAGTTGTTTTAATTTTCTTGACTGGTTAATTCTGTTCAAGAAAAACGGGTCAAGAACATTTCTCTAATATGCTCAAATCAAAAGGATCTTAGTATATGGACGATTTCAAAATTACAAATCCAAAATTACAGTCCTACTAACAGTGACTGATACTTGAGTCAATGCCACATCATTTTTACAACGATGATAATAAAAGCCACATTTTACTGGCTAAAATGGAATCACTTTTAATAAAAAAAAAAGTTTAATTAGAGTTTCAATGTGGTCTTATTCTAGTTTGGGCTGGGTATCATTAAGAAGCTGCTGATACGATATATACCTCGATACATAGGCCACGATACGATACATATTTCAATACAGTGCACTTTCAGTTTGATACGATATATTTCATATCAATTTGATACAGTTCAATAAAAAATAAAGGCTAAATCATGGTTGTGATACTAAAAGTCTTTGCTAAACCACTTTTTGTGCAAAGTTAATATGAAACACAAACATTTTGACATTTTCACTGTTTTGATGATTAAATGTGTCGCATAAACGAGTTTCCTTCCTCTAAACAAGCAACAAAACTGTAGCGCTGTAACAAAATAATTTAGTAAAATATACCAAAAAATACTCTTGGCGATATATTAATACAGCAGTCTCCGATATCGATACTGTATCATCACATTAAACAACACGATATATCGATATTTCAATATTTTTGCACACCCCTAATTTTAGTTATCCAATTTTGTCCTTTTTGAGATTTTTTTGTATTTTGTTCAAATGAGATTCTAGTTTCAAGACTAGTTTTTGACACAAACAAACAAAATAAATCATAATAAGTCAAACTTAATCAAGTCAAGTTTAGTATATATATTAGATTATATGTGTATACTATATATATTAGAGTGATTTTAACTCATGTAGATCTTAGCTGTGCAGTGTACCTGAAGTTACTCAACCATCTCTGTGTTTGGAGAGAAAACTGCCTTGTTGCCCACAGCCTTGTTTTGAAGGTTTAGCATGTCGAGCGTGAGAGCAGCATGTCAGTGGCGTGACAAGTGTGCTCGAATAAGGACGCTGAGCCATCCGCATAATGGCCACTGTCAGTAAAACCATCCAGTTAGTAATAGTGTTAGCGACATTATTCTTAACATACACACAAGTGCCATTTCTGTGGCGGAGAGTAAACTGAGTGTGTTGCAGGTGAGGCGAAGGGCGAGGCGGACGCGGGACCTATCATTAAACTGTGGAGCACCACACTGGCCCGGCCCGGCTTAGTCAGGGGTGGTACAGAGGGCACAGGGAGGGGTGCCACCAAACAAGGCCCCATGGAGAGAATATACACTGTAGAGCTAAAATATTCATCACAACTGAATCGAAATTGCAATTTGAATGGACGCAATTAAGCAGAATTTTTTTAAGTACCATAATTTCCTCTACGAATAACTAAATATCTTCAACAAACTGCTAACCCTGTAGTTTAGATCTGTACAAACATTTTATGAAATATGACTCTTGCTCATGGACAACAGTGGCTTTTTGGTACTTGTTTGGTGCTTGTCCACTCATCCGAAGGTAAGTGGTTCGAATCCCACTCTCAAAATAAATATCACTGGTTGAGCGATCACATCCACTGGACCACAGGTTGGCGGTGCGGTTCCAGTTCCCACAAAATGCTGTTGTTGTGTGCTTAGGCAAGACTTAACCCACCTGTTGTATGAGTGTGTGTGTGAATGGGTGAGTGGTTCCTTGATGTAAAGTGCTTTGTAAAGTGACTTGAAAGTGGAAAAGCACAATATAAAAATGTGACCTACAGCGACCATTCATAATAGTTCAATGTCAGCTCCCATTTCATTTCTTTGGATTTAAAATATGAACTTTGAACAGAATCTTACAAAACATATGTCGGAGCCAGTTTATATTTATTTAAGAAATTACTATTTTCTTTATTATAAAATTTTGTATATGAGGTAACTCTGATCTCCTCTGCCCTCCCCTCCTCCTGCAATCAGGTTTAGTGCCAGCACCTAGAGAGGAGGAGAGATACTATTTTGTAACCACACTAAATTGCTATTGAAAGTCAACCACGGAGAATATTATATTTTTTGTTCTGTAAAATAAATTGATAATGGCAATTTCTGGATCTCTGCGAGTGATTATTTTTTATTATTTGAGTTATAAACCTCCTCAAGCAAAAGGGCACAACAACATAAATTTGAATGGTTGTCTGAAAATTACATTTAGATATTTTCCCTAAATTGTTCAACCATTATACAGTTTATAAATACTAAATAAGGGGAAGAAAAGTCCCAGTTGTGCCTGACGGGAGGTGGGGACCGACATATTACAAGATTACAGCATTAAACAACAAACTGGTCTAAAGGAGAGATACAGACCAGAGCAGGGACTGTGGAGAAAACAGATAAATGTTATAAAATAATAGGATGCAAACATTATATTGGTCAGTCTTGATTTTATATTCTACGTCAGGGATGTCAAACTCAAATTCACAGAGGGACAACATTAAAAACTGGGACTAAGTCGTGTGCCAAGCTAAATGTTTATTGAAAAATTTCAACAACATCTGCATGTTTTCTCTTCTTTCGAGATATGTAATGTTAAACCTTTTCTTACTAAAATAAATGTTTAATAATAGTTTTGCTTAAACATTGAATCCAGAACAAGCAGAATATAAAATAATAGCAAAATTTTAAATAAATAACGTCTCTATAGTCTATCTGTAGCCAGTGGGCCAGCTCTAATACATGTTTGATATGATCTCATGGGCCAAATATAATTATATTGCGGGCCAAATTCGGTCCCCGGGCCTGAGTTTGACATGTCTGTTCTATGTCATAGTTTCTTCTGAAAATTAAGACTTTATTTATTAAGAAAAGGTAGACATCTTAAGCAAATCTATGGGACATTTAAAC